TTTTTCCAAAAACCCAAAAATAAAAATAAAAATAAAACCAAACCCAACGGCCAGTTTCATTGAGCAGCCCCATTAGCGCACAGCCCATTCCTCTATTCTCTTCTCTTCTTCAATTCTGAGGGTTTTTTTTGGAAACGCCCTGTCGTTTGGGTTAATGGCGGTGTCGACCAGTTTCGCCGGAGCAAAATTGGAGGCTCTGTTGTTGAAATCTTCTTCGTCGGCAGCGACAACGTCGTCGAGGGCCTCCAATGGTTCTTGCTCGTTGTCCGGGTCTTTGAGACCCGTCAGGAGCAGAAGGGCTGCGATTCAGAGGGGAGTGAGGTGCGAAGTGGCTGCTTCTGATGCTGCTGTCCAGACCGGTCAGAGTGTTTCCAATATTTCGGCTCTTGAGCAGCTCAAGACCTCTGCTGCTGATAGTACGTTTCTATTTTCCCATTAATACCTTCTACTTTATTTGTTTTTCTTTTAAATGTATGAACTTTTTGGTGGATTCTTTGATGGGTTTGTGCTGGAATTGGATTTTCTGCTTGCAATTGTTGGTTTGGTCAATGCATATTGCATATTGCAATTGTTGGTTTGGATTTTCTGATTGATTTTGTATATTGCATTTTGATTTTTAAGTTACTTTCACTTTTTGAATGAGTGAATAAATATAAACCACAATATATCTGTTTGAATTTTCGTAGAGTTTCTGGGTTTTAGAATTGCTGGATAAGAAAGTGCAGTTTGGGATTTTTCTATTTGGCCCAAGTATCTGTATGGTATGAAATTTAGAGTATAACAGAAAACACAGCCGATACTATCTTTCCCATCCAGAGTTGGTCTTGTATCTCATATGTGTATATTGATGAGTCTATTACCTGTAGGGAAAAAACTGAAAGGTAAACTTGATGATATGGTTCAAGTGTCATGACTTCCACTGATTCATAAGTTAGAGATATATTGTCTTTTACCCCACCCCTGGTTCTGTTCGGAAGCTTTTTATGACACTTGTTTGATTGCATTTAGAGGATAATCTTCACTTTTTAAACCCCATGTCAAATTTGTTGCCAGCATTCACTAGAACATAAAATTAGGTTTAATTACATTTGTGCAACCCACCAGTTTGTGAATTCATAGTTCAAGGTTGTTTAACAATGCATATGTTTTTTTGGATATTGAAATTATTTGTATGCTATTGTCTGACTGAAATTTCTAAAACTAATCTTCTCAGGATATACAAAGGAAAAAAGCAGCATTGTGGTCATTGGGCTTAGTATTCACACAACACCTGTTGAAATGCGCGAAAAACTAGCCATCCCAGAAGCAGAATGGCCTCGAGCCATAGGGGAGCTGTGTGGCTTAAATCATATAGAAGAAGCTGCTGTTCTCAGCACCTGCAACCGAATGGAGATATATGTTGTTGCTCTATCTCAGCATCGTGGTGTCAAAGAAGTGACCGAGTGGATGTCAAAGGTACTCGTCTTCTCTTTATAATGTGTTTCTGGTATAAATGACAATAGTGTAATGGATCTTATGAGGGAATCTTTTGCATGTGTTTTGTGACATGGATCAATCATTGTATTTTACATTTGAGCAATTAATTTCTTTTCCTTTGAAAGAAGAATTACACTCTTTTCATGTGTAGTTTACATTTGACCTTGTATGCTCTTTACTTTCACCTGCTTATTAAAAAAGTATCCTGAATTGATTATGATCATTTCTTGATCTAAAACATTCTATTTGCTTTTATTTGCAGACAAGTGGGGTCCCTGTTTCTGAGCTATGCCAGCACCGGTTTTTGCTCTATAATAAAGATGCCACACAGCATCTCTTTGAAGTATCAGCAGGTCTTGACTCTCTTGTCCTGGGAGAAGGTCAAATTCTTGCTCAGGTGAAACAAGTTGTTAAAGTTGGGCAAGGAGTTGTTGGCTTCGGCAGGAACATTAGTGGGCTGTTCAAGCATGCAATCACCGTAGGAAAGCGGGTTAGAACTGAGACTAACATTGCTGCTGGGGCAGTTTCTGTAAGCTCTGCTGCTGTTGAACTTGCCTTGATGAAGCTTCCTGCATGCTCACATGCTAGTGCGAGAATGTTGGTGATTGGTGCTGGGAAGATGGGGAAGCTTGTGATCAAACACTTGGTAGCAAAAGGTTGCACAAAGATGGTTGTTGTGAATAGAACCGAGGAGAGAGTGACTGCAGTCCGTGAGGAGTTGAATGGTGTTGAGATAATCTACAAGCCTCTCAAAGAAATGCTTACCTGTGCAGCTGAGGCAGATGTGATTTTTACAAGCACGGCATCAGAAACCCCATTATTTTTCAAAGAGGATGTAAAGGACCTTCCTGTTGTGGGTCCAGAGACTGGTGGTTCGAGGTTTTTTGTTGATATTTCTGTCCCTAGGAATGTGGGCTCATGTGTCGCTGATGTTGATGGTGTGCGAGTTTACAATGTTGATGACCTTAAGGAGGTTGTGGCTGCTAACAAAGAGGATCGCCTCCGGAAAGCAATGGAAGCTCAGGAAATTATTACTGAAGAATCAAAACAATTTGAAGCATGGAGGGATTCATTGGAGACAGTCCCTACCATCAAGAAATTAAGAGCTTATGCTGAAAGAATCAGAGCTGCAGAGCTTGAGAAATGTTTATCAAAAATGGGTGATGACATCTCAAAGAAAACTAGAAGAGCTGTCGATGATCTTAGCCGAGGTATTGTGAACAAGCTCCTTCATGGTCCAATGCAGCACTTAAGATGCGATGGGAGTGATAGCCGAACTCTGAGTGAAACCCTTGAGAATATGCATGCTCTTAATAGAATGTTCAGTCTTGAGACAGAAATTTCGGTCTTGGAACAGAAGATTCGAGCTAAGGTGGAACAAACCCAGAAGTAAGCTCGATGTCAAATTTCTTCCATGACACATCTACTTCCTCAAATTTGAATAAGGGGAAAACATCCTCACAGTCATTTTAGTGTTCGCTCTGGTGTAATCTTCAACTCCATAGATAAACAGTATTGGTCCCGGCTTGGGGATCTTCCAATTCATTCTTTGGTGTAAAACACTTTAACCTGATTCTTATCTGGGAGTTCTGAAATATGTCTACCACATGTTCCCAAGTGGCTGTTCGGCTTTGTATCGAAATAATGAGGTGAAATTATTCATGTTGGTACGATTGTCGTATTGTTTATGGTGTGTCGTCTGTATCTGTAATACTGTTAATTCTTGTAATTAAAGGATATTTGCATATTTGAGATGAATAAATTGTAATTGATCATTTTTGTAACCTGCTAATAAACACATCAAAGTTTTTCATAACTTGTTGTCTCGCATTTGTGACAGCAATAATATATGTAGTATATAGAACAACAAAGAAGTTTTACGCGATGATATATGTACAATACAAGTAGGTTGAACTTTTCTGAGCATCCATGGCTTCACATTAATAAGAAATAACTGCTCAAGTTCAATAGTAAAGTGCCAAGAAAGAACACTCCAAAACCCGAAGAGAAATCCTAGTCCCCAAGCTCAGATAGAACCAACCGTCTTCAAACAAATTGCTTTGAATTGACTGGTTGAATTGTCGCAGACAACTCCAAACCAATTGCAACAATCTCCTTCACCAGTCCAGGACGAAAGCCGATTTGAAGGATCTTCAAGATCGTGCTTGAACACTTGGATTTCCAATGCATAAGCAAATGGTAAACAAGGTTGCAATGCAAAAAAAAACCAAACAATATTGCTCAGTTTTCCATCAAAAGAAATCAAAGATCATCATTGGTGGTGAAATGCTTTCCAGTTCATGGAGTGTTTCACATGCAGTGCTTCCTTAAACTGCAAATCCTTTTTCAACTTGTATTTCTATGCGTGGCCTTAAAATGAAAAAAAAAAAAACAATTGGGATGTCAAAATGTCATGGTCAGATATTATTTCGGCTATATTAGTAGACAATGACCAAACGTCCTTGGGCTAATGACTCAGAAGACTCAAGTTAGGTTGGACCTAAAATTCAATTATGGCTTGAATTTTAAAAGCATACATGCATGCATGCAAGCATATGCAACCACTCCATGAACTAGCAGGCATTTTCTTTCGTTTTTTGGGTTTTTTTGTTTTGTTTTTCTTTTGATAGTGTTGGTTTGGTTGATTGGTTTTGGAATTGGCAAATTGAAATTTTTCTTGTTTTCTATTCGGTAGAGTTATGATTAGTATTTTGTTTTGTCAGAACTCTTTGGGTAGAGTTGGGGATTAGATTTTGTGATATTGTTGAAGTTGATTATGCACAAACAAGTGATTCAAGTTAATCACTTTGATTTGAATCTATATATTAGTTTACAATTAGTGCAATTAATTCATTTGTGATTTTTATTTTTTTATTTTTTTGTCAATCGCTAGGGAGGGAGAGGGGGTATTATTTGGGGAATAATGATTTTAATAGTTTAGAATTTTTTCCATAGTTTAGAATTAAAATCATGTTTCCACCATCCATACATAGGATGGTGAGAGAATACGAGGCAAAGAGAGAAACGGAGAGATAGTCGTTTCAAATATGACTAGGGCTAACTTTTAGACTACTTTTTTCAAACGGAAAGTTTTTATTGAATGAGGCGTCGTTCGATTTCTCAGTTTGAGTTGATGAGGACAGAAGAGAGCCCTGATGATGAAATACAAAAAGGGAAAATTAGGGTGCAAGACCATCATGTCTCCTAGAAAGCTAGAAGGATCTAAAGTATTTTGTCCTTGAAATATTGAAAAGCTATGATTTTTATTTAAAGTTAATGATTTGTTCATCATTTTCAATCCATCATTCTGCCCTACTTTATTCACTAATTCACAGCCCTTTGCTAACCAACCCTATCATCATTCTGCCCCTTTCTGTCCCTAAATAAGAAAAAATTAAGAAAAATAAAAATTACTACACAATTGGTCGGTGTTTACTTGTTCATCATGCTAATGAAAATGTCTATTAAAAAAAAAGGAGTTTGTAGGACTGAAAAAGAAAAGCAACAAAACCAAAAACACAAGCTTTAAGCATCCACCCAATCAATGAGGGTCGCGCCGTCTACTACCATATTATCCAATTTTTAAAATTACAAAAAATAAAAATAAAGAGGAAAAATGCTGTTTTATTTTCCCTCTAGAAATAAATATTAAAACCTAGCATTTTCAAAGCCGTGCAAGTCGCTGACTCTATTCAACGACTTCTTCATCATAGCCATTTTAGCCAGCTTCTCTGCCGCTCTCCACGCTGATGTCGGCGTAAGCGGCTCCCCGTTTTCGTCCACGGCTATCTCCCTCTCGCTGCTGCCGCCACCTTTCCGCCGTTGGATCATCATCATCATCTGCTGCTGCTCCTCCATGATCTTATGCTGTCTCCTCCAATGCAGCTCCA